CGTCGGAACTTGTCGCTTGTGTCGTCGGCTTTTTGTCGCTTGTGTCGTCGCATTTTGTCGCCTGTGTGGTCGCGCAAGTTGCCGCTTGTGTCGTCGCACAATTTGTCGCTTGCGTCGTCGGAACTTGTCGCTTGTGTCGTCGGCTTTTTGTCGCTTGTGTCGTCGCATTTTTTCGCATCTGTGGTCGCGAAAGTTGCCGCTCGTGTCGTCGCACAATTTGTCGCTAGCGTCGTCGGAACTTGTCGCTTGTGTCGTCGGCTTTTTGTCGCTTGTGTCGTCGCGTTTTTGTTGCCTGTGTGGTCGCGCAAGTTGCCGATTGTGTCGTCGCACAATTTGTCGCTAGCGTCGTCGGAACTTGTCGCTTGTGTCGTCGCATTTTGTCGCCTGTGTGGTCGCGCAAGTTGCCGCTTGTGTCGTCGCACAATTTGTCGCTTGCGTCGTCGGATCTTGTCGCTTGTGCGTCGGCTTTTTGTCGCTTGTGTCGTCCCATTTTTTAGCCTGTGTGGTCGCGCAAGTTGCCGCTCGTGTCGTCGCACAATTTGTCGCTAGCGTCGTCGGAACTTGTCGCTTGTGTCGTCTGCTTTTTGTCGCTTGTGTCGTCGCATTTTGTCGCCTGTGTGGTCGCGCAAGTTGCCGCTTGTGTCGTCGCACAATTTGTCGCTTGCGTCGTCGGAACTTGTCGCTTGTGTCGTCGGCTTTTTGTCGCTTGTGTCGTCGCATTTTTTCGCATCTGTGGTCGCGCAAGTTGCCGCTCGTGTCGTCGCACAATTTGCCGCTTGCGGCGTCGGAACTTGTCGCTTGTGTCGTCGGCTTTTTGTCGCTTTTGTTGTCACATTTTTTCGCCTGTGTGGCCGCGCAAGTTGCCGCTTGTGTCGTCGCACAATTTGTCGCTAGCGGCGTCATAACTTGTCGCTTGTGTCGTCGGCTTTTTGTCGTTTGTGTCGTCGCATTTTTTCGCCTGTGTGGTCACGCAAGTTGCCGCTCGTGTCGTTGCACAATTTGTCGCTTGCGCCGTCGGAACTTGTGGCTTGTGTCGTCGGCTTTTGTCGCTTGTGCCGTCGCATTTTTTCGCCTGTGTGGATGCGGCAAGTTGCCGCTCGTGTCGTCGCACAGTTTGTGGCTAGCGTCGTCGGAACTTGTCGCTTGTGTCGTCGGCTTTTTGTCGCTTGTGTCGTCCCATTTTTTAGCCTGTGTGGTCGCGCAAGTTGCCGCTCGTGTCGTCGCACAATTTGTCGCTTGCGTCGTCGGAACTTGTCGCTTGTGTTGTCGGCTTTTTGTTGGTTGTGTCGTCGCATTTTTTCGCCTGTGTGGTTGCCCAAGTTGCCGCTCGTGTCGTCGCACAATTTGTCGCTTGCGTCGTCGGAACTTGTCGCTTGTGTCGTCGGCTTTTTGGCGCTTGTGTCGTCGCTTTTTTTCGCCTCTGTCGTCGGGTAATGTGCCGCTTGTGTCATCGCACAGTTTGTCGCTTGCGTCGTCGCTTGTAGCGTCGGCTTTTTGTCGGTTGTGTCGTCGCATTTTTTCGCCTGTGTGGTCGCGCAAGTTGCCGCTCGTGTCGTCGCACAATTTGCCGCTTGCGGCGTCATAATTTGTCGCTTGTGTCGTCGGCTTTTTGTCGCTTTTGTTGTCGCATGTTTTCGCCTGTGTGGCCGCGCAAGTTGCCGCTCGTGTCGTCGCACAATTTGTCGCTTGCGTCGTCGGAACTTTTCGCTTGTGTCGTCGGCTTTTTGTTGCTTCGCTTGCGTTGTCGGAACTTGTCGCTTGTGGCGTCGGCTTTTTGTCGCTTGTGTCGTCGCACAATTTGTCGATTGTGGCGTCAGAACTTGTTGCTTGTGTCATTTGCTTTTTGTCGCTTGTGTCCTCGCATTTTTTTGCCTGTGTGGTCGCGCAAGTTGCCCCTCGTGTCGTGACACAATTTGTCGCTTGCGTCGTCGGATCTTGTCGCTTGTGTCGTCGGTTTTTTGTCGCTTGTGTCGTCGCATTTTTTCGCCTCTGTGCTTGCGCAAGTTGCCGCTCGTGTCGTCGCACAATTTGTCGCTTGCGTCGTCGGATCTTGTCGCTTGTGTCGTCGTCTTTTTGGCGCTTGTGTCGTTGCTTTTTTTCGCCTCTGTCGTCGGGTAATGTGCCGCTTGTGTCATCGCATCATTTGTCGCTTGCGTCGTCGGAACTTATCGCTTGTAGCGTCGGCTTTTTGTCGCTTGTGTTGTCGCATTTTTTTGCGGGGGGTTTGCTCGCTTGCGTGGTCGAAGTTTGTTGCTTGTGTGGTCGGCTTTTTGTCGCTTGTGTCGTTGCATTTTTTCGCCTGTGTGGTCGCGCAAGTTGCCGCCCGTGTCGTCGCACAATTTGTCGCTTGCGTCGTCGGAACTTGTCGCTTGTGTCGTCAGCTTTTTGTTGGTTGTGTCGCATTTTTTTTCGCCTGTGTGGTCGCGCAAGTTGCCGCTCGTGTCGTCGCACAGTTTGTCGCTTGCGTCGTCGGAACTTGTCGCTTGTGTCGTCGTCTTTGTGTCGCTTGTGTCGTCGCCTTTGTTCGCCTGTGTGGTAGCGCAAGTTGCCCCTCGTGTCGTCGCAGAATTTGTCGCTTGCGTCGTCGGAACTTGTCGCTTGTGTCGTCGGCTTTTGTTTCGCCTGTGTGGTCGCGCAAGTTGCCCCTCGTGTCGTCGCACAATTTGTTGATTGCGTCGTCAGAACTTGTCGCTTGTGTCATTTGCTTTTTGTCGCTTGTGTCGTCGCATGTTTTGCCTGTGTGGTCGCGCAAGTTGCCCCTCGTGTCGTCGCACAATTTGTTTGCGTCGTCGGATCTTGTCGCTTGTGTCGTCGGTTTTTTGTCGCTTGTGTCGTCGCATTTTTTCGCCTGTGTCGTTGCGCAAGTTGCCGCTCGTGTCGTCGCACAATTTGTCGCTTGTGTCGTTGCGTCATGTGCCGCTTGTGTCGCCGCGCAATTTGTGGAACTTGGTCGCTTGTGCCGTCGCACAGTTTGTCGCTTGTGCCGCCGCACAATTGGTCGCATGTGTCGCCGCTCAATTTGTCGCCCGAGGCATCGCGCAATTGGTCGGTCGCTTGTGTCGTTGGATTTCGGTCGCGTGTGTCGTCACAATTTGTTCGCCCGTGTTGTCGTGCAAGTTGCCTCTCGTGTCGTCGCGCTATTTGTCGTTTGCGTCCTCGGATTTGTCGCTTGTGTCGTCTCGCAATTGATCGCTTGTGTCGTTGCATTTTCGCCGCTTGTGCCGTCGCACAATTTGTCGCTCGTGTGTCGCAATTTCTGCACTTGTGTTGTCGCGCAAGTTGTCGCTTGTGTCGTCAGCAATTTGTCGCTTGTGTCGTTGCAATTTCTTCGCTTGTGTCGTCGCACAACTTGTCGCTTGTGCTGTCAGTCGCAGTTTCTTCACTTGTCGCGCAAGTTGTTGATTGCATCGTCGCAATTTCTTCGATTGTGTCGTCGCGCAATTTGTGCTTGTGTTGTTAGATGTTTTCGCTTGTGTCGTCACACTTTTTGGCTCAGTGCCCGCTAGTGAAACGGCCAGCAGCAGCTGTGCTAAGGCTGCTGAAGTGCTAGATACAGAGATGCACCACAGTGTGCGAGCAACATCATGGACAGCTGCAGTACCGGGAAGAGGTTCGCAAGATCACCGCCAAGTCTGTGCCACGGTGCCACATCGAGATTGTCTTCCAGATTATGGCCAGCAGAGTCCGCCAGAGCGACCGCGGCACAAAGAGCGCCGAACCCTCACCACCACTGCCCCGCCCGTGGCCTTTGCCTTTGCCCCTGGCCTGTCTGGGACCGCGGTTGCTGCGGCCCGCAGCCGCGGCCATGGCTGCGCCTGCGACTGCGCTTCAGCTGCACCACCTTCGAACAGAGAACTGGCCCGTCCTGCTCTTTGGGAAGGGCTTGGCCCTGCACGGGTAGTCCAAACGGTTGCGGCAAGCAAAAAGGCAAGCGTTCGTCCCCCGTCGTCGCCCTCTCTCCATGCTGCTTTCCTCAGCTTTTGAATGATATGGATGATTCTGGCCCATGCTTCGTCAATCTGAACTGAAAATGTTCAAGGGATCCCAGGAAAAAGCTGGTTGGTCACTTGCGACGACGCTTGTCCATCCTTTGCAACAACGGCAAAAATGTCACTTGGCGCTTCTCGCGGCCACTGCGCCTTGAAACGATGAAGGGTCCAGTCAGCGCTGCTTTGCCGAGTCAATAGAAAATTGGTTTCACTTTCGCTTTGAATCCAAACAACAACCGTTTGCCCCTGCGTCGACAACGCCCGGTCAGAGTTCCGGTCAGCAGGTTGCAGGACGACACCCCACGCCCGCTTGCCTCGACGTAGGGTGCGGCGCCTGCACGGCTGTGCGTGCTCTGCAGCTGCTCGTGGGCGACCGCTTGCTATTCCGACAAAGGGTTGGGCCGCGGCCCTCGGCGGTATGGCTTGTCAGCGGCAAAGCTGACACTGACAGAGAATTGGCAGGGGACAAGCCGCCCCTCAAGGCCAGCTGCTGGAAGTGGCGCAGCAGCTTCTGGCGGCGGCCGCCGGGCACTGAGCTTTTTTATCGGCCACAATTTCTCAGACGTTTCACCCGTGCGGGCAAGTGCCGCGCCAACAGGAGAAAAGTGCGCGCTCAGCCACGATTTCTCACTCAGAAGGCAGAGAAGAACCACGCGCGGCAAGAGATACTCATTGCCGACGTTTGGAAGGGCCAGCGGAAAAGTCCCGAAGCGGGAATGTGGATGCGAGGTGCAATCAGGTCTTGTTCTTCGTTGGCACCATGGTTCCGAACGTGACGGCTCGGCGTGGTTCGAATTGTGCAAGCAGGCGCAATCATGTGCCCATGCGCGGTTTCTGGAAGTTGTTTCACACCAGCGCAAAGCGTAGTTACTGTAGGGCTGGCCAGCGAGCGAGGCCCAAGCAAGTGAAATTCAGCCACTGTCAGCCCATGCCCCAGTCCAAGATGAGAGAAAGAAGGACTGGCGCTGGCGGGGCAAGTGAAATGGAAAACAATCGCTTTGCCACGCCTTGCTTTGCCTATGATACATCTTTTGCGTTTACTTTTGTTTTGGCTTTGCGTTGCCTTTGCTGTTTGCTCTCCTGTTGCTTTGGCCTTTACTCTTTACCCTTCGCCTTGTTTGTTTGTTTGTTTGTTTGTTTGTTTGTTTGTTTGTTTGTTTGTTTGTTTGTCTTGCTATTTGTTTGCGTGTGTGTGTGTGTTTTAGTTAGTTAGTTAGCTAGCTAGGTAGGTAGTTAGCTAGTTTGTTTGTTTGTTTGTTTGTCTGTCCGTGTTGCTTGTGAGGTGTTTTGTCATGTTTTTTTTTGTTAGGTTTTTGTTTTTATTTTCTTTTTTTTTTTAAAATGTGTCATTGTTTCGTTCGTTCTTTCGTTCGTTCGTTCCTTTGTCTGTCTGTTTGTCTATGTTGGCTGGTTGTTTGTTTGTTTGTTTGTTTGTTTGTTTGTTTGTTTGTTTGTTTGTTGTGTGTCTGTTTTTCTTTTTCTTTGTTGTTTCGCAAGCGCTTGCTTGCGCGTGTATCGGTTTTACTCGTATGCTTGCATCTGCGTATGCGCCGGCTCTTGCAGCGGCGCGCCGTGTGGTGTGTGGCAGTTTGTTGTGTGTTCTGTCGTGACAGGCTTTGAGCGTTCTGTGCAAGGGATGTCACGCTGAGGCACATCTGAAGGTGGCCTTCGAAATGGGCCACCGCGGGGCGGGGCGAACGTGGTGCTCAGGCGCGTGTTGCGCACTGTGCCAAAAGAGGGAAGCAGCGCAGCAACCCGCGAGCCGCACAGTTCCCATCAGGATCATCACATGTGGCCCTTTCGGCAAGTTCTTCGCCCAACTTCCAGGCACCAAGAGGCTGAGCAAAGGATACAGGGGGGCCTGCATGAGTTTCCACACCCTCCTCACCATTGAGCGGCAGTCGTAGGGGCGCCTGGATCCTTCAGGTGGCCCAGTTTTGGTTTACGCAGTTTCTTGCATGCAATGGTAAACCTCCTCAAGCTACGCGGCCTACGCGGCCAGCCGGTGCGGAAGACTGGGATGGCTTACTGCTGGCATAGGGGTTGCTCGGACTGATGAGAGCTTGGAAGGTACAAGGCGCACATTGACGGCTTTGACGGGCCAGTTTTTGACTCCTCGGAGCTGCGTGGCTCGCTTCTGGGCTGAGATAGCTGTTGTTGACGAAGTGGGCGGACATGGGGAAGAAGGGCCTTGGAACGAGAACCAGCTAGTTCGCGCTTCCCGAGTTCATGCTCTTCAAACTTTTTGGGAAGACCATTTTAGTGGTAAGTATAAAAGTTTGAACTCTTTTCGGGCCATCCACTCAGCCAGTGAGAATTGGTGCTAGGTTGTTTGGAGTTTTGTTTTTGGCAGTTTGTCACGTCTGCTTGTCGAGACGAAGCCGCACTTGTGGCGAATTCCCTGCCTGACGGTCCGTACGCGGCTCTTGCAAGTTTGGAGCGCCAACAACGGATGGGTCAGCCAGATGCCAGATGTGTTTTGCCCGGTTGCTTGTGGCGTAGTGACCAGCTCCTTGGATTGTCCCCAAGCCGTTGGATCAGCTCTTCGGTTTCTAGGCCGGGGGCCCGAGGCGGAAGCCCAACAAAATTGACGCCGTCGAGTGCCGCTTGAACGTGGACTGGGGGGGGGAAGACCTGGGCAAGGAAACAGGAGGCGCGCAAGGAGTCCAGGAGCTGCTTTTGTTGATGCAGGGAGCTGGCAATGGGATCGGG